TCTGAAACTTGTGTGCTGGCGGCCCGCCACGTGCTGGCTGGCTGAGTGGCAGCTGCTTGCGCCACGCGGACTCGCTGGTGAGCACGTTGGCAGTTGGCGAGGGCTCTGAGGGTGGGAGCTTAGGAGGGTGGAATGTAGATGGGTGCCCAAGGCCCCGTGGCTGACAGTTTCACACAAATGTTTCTCGGGCCGGGCTTAAGTCACCCTTACAGGCCTGCTCCGTGATTGGGACCGGCTGGTGAAAGCTGGTTGTTTGGCAGCAGATTTGACGTGTATTACAGTGAAATCATTTCAGCGTCCCTGGAATGACGGAGAGCGAGAGAAACCCCGCGGTGGGTGTGGACCTGGGAGGAGGGGGTCTGACTGCTACGGTCAGAGGCCCTGTTGAAGGCGGGCAGCATGGGCCCCGTGTGGATCTGTGTACCGACTGCTATGACCCTTATCCCCGTGATACTGGTGAGAAGCTTCCAAATCTCTTCTGAACTTTGCCTTATCCTGGCGAGTGAGCGACCCAGGGAGCTGCTTAGAAGCATGCTCCTTCCCTCCTTTGTTTTCAGCAGAGGCGGCTTGGGTGAAAGGAACACTTTACTAACGGATTTGGGGGCCTGATGAGGGGTTAGATGAGTTAATTTCTTCCTACGGATAGAAGGGAAAACTGGTTGGGTCAGACGGTCATGTCAAAAGATATCTCTGTCTGACTAATAATAGCCAGCAACTGCTGAGAGGCTTTTAGGAGGGGAAGACAAACCCAAATAATCGACGTTTGTTAGTATGAAGATGGAAAAAAAAGTTGTAAAATCCCTGTTGTTGGTGCAGAAGCCCAGATGCACTTGCTCATGAGAACGAGAGGGCTGCTCTGGGGAAAGGCCACCGTGGACATGTAGGTTTTTATATTTTCAGTTGGCGGCATTCTTTCTTTTTCCGCTTCCTACAGGGAAGAGGCTGCTTGCAGATGCTCTGCATTGTCCATCAGAAAGAAGTAGGTTTCTAATTACTTGCTATGTATAGTCTTGGAGGGAATGTGAAATATGTATCAAAGAGCCAAGGAATGCACCCATCAATTCTCACTAACTCAGATGGTGCACGGGACAGCGCTTTAGTTGGCTGGATGGTTCCTCAGCCTAGGAAGAGGGCTCTGGCCATTAACATTTCTTTGGTCTCCTTTCCTTGTTACCGATTTTCCTCCTTTACTTGTGCTTCAGTTGTTTGTTGCATGCAATTTTAGGAAGGGCTTAGGTGCAAGGGCTAATAAACATTTTATTTAGGAAATGTGTAAAAAAAAAGTCCATAAAAGACTTTAGGATTGGCTTGATTGTGGTCAGGTGCAGAAATGATGTTCTATAGGAAATTGTGTTGGATTCTGTAGATTGATAAGAAAGGGTTTGTGCCGAGGAGCAATGTGGGTGAACCTACTGTTTGCTTTCCAAATGGGAGACGGTACTGTTGATGTGTGTGCAGTTGCCCAGGCCTCCAGGATTTTGTTGTGCTTCAGAGGTCTTTAAAAAAAAATTTCCCCGTTAAGCTGTCATCCTTATCTGTGTCTACGAATGCTGTGTTGCTGATGACTTCTTTGCCCTCTGGACGGCCTCTGGGCCGGCTCTCCCAGATGGCTAGGGGAGGTCTTCGAGAAGGCAGACGTGATTACACCAGAGCCCCTGTCTGTCCCGCTCATCACTGTGTCTCCAGTGCCTAGCAGTATGCCTGGCACCTTGTAGGTACTCAGTCCATATTTACTGAGTGAACAAGGGGATGAGGGAAGGAAAGACAAAAGGACTTGATCGAATGAATGCCCTCTGTGTGTCTAGCACCGTGTTTGATACGGTGCTAGACACGTTTCACGTGCCTCGGTCATTTTGTCACCAATGGCCTCCATATTGCCAAGCTGAATTTTTACCTGTCTCCATCTTTCTCAGCCTCTCCATAGCCGTACTTCCTTGACATCACTTTCTTCTCGTTTTTCTTTTGCCTCTGACTGCTTTTGTTCCTCTGGTCTGCTTATAAATGTTAACATGCTCCAGCACTTGGTCTTAGGTCTGCACCTCAGTTTCTGCCTTTTCTTCCTGGATGAACTCCTCTAGTGATGGCTGCAGATTACCAGCTTTGTATATTGATTCTCCAGCCCTAGGCTCCCAAGCTCCAGACTTGGACCTTTAGTTGTACACCTGACAGCTCTTTTTTCATATATAATAAGAAGCTCAACAACCATAAAGTGGCCAGAGAAGAATTGTTGGCTCCTTCCCCAAAACCTGTTTCTCCCACAGCCTTCCCTGGGTTCCTAAGATAGTCTCCTAGTTTCTTTGGTCTCCTGATTATCCACTTTTCACATAGCAGCCAGAGGGATTCTTTAAAAAGGTAAAACAGCTCAGGTCAGTTTCCGTCTTAAAATCTTAACTAGAGTTAGTAATACTGTACTGTGTATTTCAAAGTTGCTAAGAGGGTAGATCTTAAAAGCTCTCAACTCAAGAAAAAAATTTTCTGTGTGGGGACAGATGTTAACTAAGCTTACTGTGGTGATCATTTCGCAATATACACAAAAACTGAATCATGTACATCTGAAACTAATATAATGTTGTATGTCAGTTTTACCTCAATAAAACAAGACAAAACACAAAACAAAACAAAATTCTTCAGTGGCTCCCATAACACTTAAGATTTTGACTACTTACCATGGCCTGCCGGGGCCTGTTTCCTCCAGCACTGTCAGCTACCACTGACCTCTCTGCCCAGCCTCACTGACCTCATTTCCTTTCTGGAACATGCTAAACTTGTTCCAACCTTAGGGCCTTTGCACTTGCTGTTCCCTTTGCTTGGAACACTCTGCCCTCAGATCTTCACATGCCTGGGTCCTCCCTATCATTTTTGTCTCTATCAAGTGTCACCTCCTCAGAAGCCTCTTCTGAACCATCGTATGCCAAGTAACGCCTGCCTCTTTTTATTTTGTGCAAAGCACTTAATGCTATCTAAGAGTACCTTGTTCATCTATTTATTATTAGTTTCTTAGGAATTTTGTCTGTCTTATTAATGAATGTATTCCCCCTCCCTCTGGGGGTGCTTGGAACATAGCAGACACTAAATATTTGTTGAATTTGTAAATGTGTTGTATCATTCATCTTCATGGAAACCTGAGGCTCAGAGAGGCTGGTAAATGATTTGATTGCTCAAGTGTTCAAGGCATTTTCTTTTCTCCTATACTCCTGATGGCTGATCTATATCCTATTTGCATTTAGTTTTATATTTTTAGTTTGAGTACAGAGAAGGAAAAAGATACGTATCAGCATGAAATTGCATATAAGAGCCATATCCCTGAAAGAAGATATTCTGCAAGTGTCCAAAGGTAATGAGTTTCTCAATAGCATTGTCCACCAGTAAAGGTTAGGGTAAAAAGAAAGAAGGAAAAAATAAAGCAAGGAAACTTACCTTTATTAAACATGTAGTAGGTGCAAAGCACAGAACTGGGTCTTTTCACGTATGTTACCTAATATGAATCTCAAAACAGTCCCGCACTGTTGATACTGTTACCCCCAATTTCAGTGGTGGAAAAACTGAGGCTCAAAGAGTTAAATACTTTGCTCCAGGTGATACATATATTCAGAGGTGGTGCTAGGTTTTTTAAACCCAGGTCTACCTGATACCCAATTTCTGACTTTTTTATGCTCAGATGGTTGCTTTGCAAGATGGATATGCTCCTAAAATAGAAAAGAGGAAAATGTGAATTCAGTGCATATCCACATAGATTATAACAGATATCTGAAGCACAAGATACGGACAATATGGAACAATATGGAACACAGACTTACAATATTCAGTGCCTGAGCATATAATTGGATGAATCGAATACAGAGTGAACATTTGGTTCTCTGGCAGAGCTTATGTACGGTATGACATAGAGCAGCTGTCTCCAGAGAAAGTTCTTTGTTTCTAGACCGGTGCGACACAAGCAGCATTTGAGCAATTCGGGTTTTTTTTCTGCTTTCACTATAAATAGAGTTCATGGAATTCTGCATGTCAAAGTTAATGCAATGAAAAGAAGTCCCAGAATTTGGAACTAAACCTTAACTCATCTTATAAACTAAGAAACATGTTTGGCATCAGGAGGCCATAAAAACGCTGTCATTACTTGGATGGATTCTGAGGTCTTATTTAGCATATGAAATTGCAGAGCAGATCCTATTATGTAAGGAGACAGGAGGACAGCATAATGTGGCTACAAACTGAAGAACTTTGTGCCCTTCAGGGAAGAGTTAACAGGACAGATATACATAGAGATGGGTGATAACGTGGAAAATGAATGAATGGGTGGCATATAGATATGTGACTGTTGCTGAAGCCGGGTTGCTGGATAATCCTCAGATGTCAGATTTCCGTAAGGCCAACATGTGACTCAAAGCTTGCCACTCAACAGAGAGTACTGGGCTGTGCTGGTATTAAGAGGCTGGCTGGAAGCTAGGCTCCCACTGTGCACTAGCCTAACTCCCTGTCGTTTTCTTGTGTGGGTGGGTGTGCGTGCGTGTGTGTGTGTGTGTGTGTGTGTGTGTGAGTGAGGGTATACATTTTTATGCAGTGGGTGTTTAAAGAGCTAAGCACTGAAGCTGGATTTCCACAAACGATCATCACGAGCACTCCAGACAAACCAAACTTCCTCTCTTGGTATTTTTTTTTTTTTTGCTTTCATCTTTTTTTTTTTTTTTTTTTTTCCTTTTTGCGAATCCCAAAGGGAGAACCCCCAGCATCCAGCCTATAGGATTGAGATGATTTTCTCTCACCTGTCCATGTGGGTGCCCTCTCAAGGTTAGAACTGAAGCTATGTGGGACCGGCATATTCTCAAGCACCAGATGAGAGGAGCTGCGTGAAGGAGTTAACAGACATCAGAGGAAGAGTGGCTCTGCCCTGTTAACATGAACACCAGCGTGCAGGTTAACCTGCCCAGAAGCTGGGCTACTTCAAGTGGCTCGCTCCAGGAGAAGTCTGAGCATTCTTTTTTTCTTTTTTATTACTATAGGATGGAGGATGAAGCTGTCCTGGACAGAGGGGCTTCCTTCCTTAAGCATGTGTGTGATGAAGAAGAAGTAGAAGGTGAGCTTTATGGGTCTGGGGAAGTGTATATTGGTATACCTATGTCTTCGTAGACAGTAGCGCTCATGCATTTCATATAGCTTATATTTTTGAAGTTAAAAACTTAAGCTTTTCTATGGGGTTTTATTAGTCTGCACATTTTGCTTCAACACAGAAAGTAATTTTAAGAACTTCACTGGACCATTAGAATCTGAATCAGTGTGGTCCTGCATGGTTAAAAAAGGGGGGGAGGTGTCTTACCTTTGAAGCAGGTGCCTATGTTAGCCGTGCCTTTCTGTCAAGAAATAAATATTTTGCCAGTTAGTTACCACCTTGCGATGACTAATTCAAAGAAGCTGCTAGATTTATATAAATGTATTTGGCAGCATCTTCTAATATTCTTTCTTACAGCTTGCAGGGTAGAGAAACATGTTACAGAAGGAGAATGATATCATTGTTGCAGGAAAAATGGGTATAAACCACGGTTATAAAGAGGGGTGATCATGGATGAGTTTCCATTAGGAAATGATGGACATTTTTTTACTTAGAAAACCTCCAGGACCTCTTTTGTTAATGTTGCCCAGTGCCTGTTAAAAACCAAGTAAGAGTTAAATTTTAGTTGGTGCTCTTATGCTTTCAGTGTGCCCCTCTCCTCTTGTCTCTTGACTTATCAGTAATATGGGCATAATTCTATTCACTTGATAATGAGAAAACAGGGCTCAATATTTATTAATTAAAGGCATCACAGATATACAAGATATAATTAATACTTACAATGAGATTTAAAAAAAATAATCAGAGTTGTGGACAGTACTTGCAAGTTAAATGAAACTTGCAAGCGAACTGTGTCATACAGTCTTCCTCTTAAAATCACCTGAGAATCAGTTCATATGTGTTTTGGGAACTCTAGTCTGGTTGGTGCCATTTGGTGAACATTTAATGCTTACCAGAAACTTGGACCAGTGTGGGGGAGGGGTTGGAAGAAAGAAGGTGGGTATTGTGTGGTCCGGAGTGACTCTTCAACCAGACTGAACACCAGGTCCTGGGCACGTGATGCCTTCTTGGACCTCCTGGAATAGTTGGCACACTGTGGCCATGATGGTGTTTCTCATGTTTGCTTACTAAGTTTCTTCTGGCCGTTGTAGTCCCTTCACCCCCACTGCCCTCCTCCCCTCATTTATGCTCTTGACTCTGACTAATAAGAATTTGATGCCTGAGTTTCTTAGGAAAAAGGAAACTACAGTATTTTCTTTCATTTTGTTTTATGGGTTCCTTGCACTTTTACAACATGACTGTGGGAAAATGTCACGTCAGTGCGAGCAAAATAGTAAAACTTGTGTCTTTAAGATTATTGTGCCCCTGATGTTAAGTCTCCATTGTGGTGACTCTCTCACTGTCCCAGTGTCAAAGAGGAGATAAGGATCTTCAAGTTACAGCATATGAATGTAAGAAATATTGTAGGATTGAGTGAATATATACTTTTGGGACAATTAAAGTAGAAATATCAGTGAGAAAGCTTGGGAATGAGATGTACTCTTTGTGTGTGTGTGCGTGTGGGTGCGTGTGTGCGTGCGCGTGCGCGCGCGTGTGTTTTCCTTGAGAATAATGTTCTAGCTAAGTTCACAGGAGATGTAAATCATTTCTTGAGTTTGTAAGGTCTGTAGGATTGACAGCACTCTACTGCGATAGGGTATTGTACATGGGGTTCTTAAGACTTTGACTAACAAGTTTATTTCCTAAAGTACTTCCCTTGATTTTCAAGCACAAAATTAAAATAACAATGTAATGAATAGCAGACAAATCTGTAGTCAAGTTTCTTTAAGAAAAAACAAAAAGACAACAAAATACGGTAGAAACATCTGTAAAATTGTTTGGCTTTATGATGATTAAACTTGCCACATGGGTATTGTGTATTTTTGTATTCTGATAAGGCTTCTGTTCTAAGATTATCTTTCATGTTGATTGGAAACTGAGCTGATTACACTTCTTTCGAGGCATGTTTAGCCAGTTGCCTGTTCCTGCATTTTAAGACTCTATAGGGTGGTTGCTTTTGGTGTCATTATTTGGTGGAGAATATCCCAACAGTGCAGGCTCTTCTACAGTACAAGTCTTTTTTTTTTTTTTAAAGACAGAAAGCATGAGCAGGGGGAGGGGCAGAGGGAGAGCGAATCTCAAGCAGAGTGCACGCTGAGCATGGAGGTGGATGTGGGGGTCCATCTCAGGACCCTGAGATCATGACCTGCACCAGCCAGTCATGTAACCACCTGAGCCACTCAGGCGCCCCTACAGTACAGGTCTTGAAACTACAGTTAGGGACTATTTCTGATTTAGTGCCCTCTTAGTTGACCCTCCCATTTTTCTCACCTGGCTTCATCTGGTGGGGGTGGATCACTTAGATTTTATAGTAACTCCAGGTGAAGTATAAAGAAGTTGGAATGGAAGGTTTATGGCTTAAGTCGTGGTCTCAGTGGTTGAGAATGAAAACTGTCAAGACCTCTAATAAGGATTTATAGTTTGAGTGGGAATGTTTTCCACAAGGACGCGTGTCCATCTCATATTTTTAACTGCATAGAGAAGGGTGTATTTAGAGGAAAGCAAAGCGTTATCTTGTTCTGAAGTAGTTGAGTTTCTGGTACATTTATGGCAGAAGTAAATGCACCACTTTTAAGGATCAGAATCCAAAGGGCAAGGAGCTGGAACACCCTTCATTTATATTATCAAATGTTTCCTTTTATCCAAGTAACTTCTCTTGCTTCTAGGATAAACATGGTTGAAGTATAATGCGGCACACTTGGCAAAAGAAAACTTAAAAGTTTTGTTTTTTGAAATAATTTGCACAAATAAGATATACTCCTAATAAGTGATTATGAGTGTGACTAAGGCCCAGTAGTAGCTGTAGTTACTTTGGAATGTTCATGCTTTTAAAATTCTTCTTAGGGTCCCTTAATTTGTGATAATCAGATTCAGCGCCGCCTGAAGGTGAGGGGAGCCAGATGCTCTCACACGGTTCCTTCTGCTGTAGTTCTCCGAAGGGGAGAGACTGAGACTTCCAGCCACGCCCTCAGTTCACCTGGTTCAACTTTACTCTCAGTGGGTGGCATGATGCTTAATCCCTGGTCTAAAAACTCAATAGAAAGCCATCATCTGCAAAGCTCACTAAGAATAGAGTGAGTCAGAAGAGGAGTCATCTTCTGTTTAAGTAATGAATTTATGTGGGATATATTTAAAGACCTAAACCTCATTTTCACATAATTTCCTTCATGTGCATTTGTGTTAATGATTTAAAGAGATCCTCTTTAAAAAAAGGCAACCAAGTGCCAATTTTAATCTTTAAAATAAAGAGAAGCTTTTATATCTGTTCTTTCATTGGTTATATTATATCGATGTATATCGATATAATATAGTTTTATAAAGTTAACATTTTAGTCACAGAAGGGTTACTGTGTATAGTTTTATAAAGTTAACATTTTAGTCACAGAAGGGTTACTGTGGATAAACTCCTTTAAAAATTTCAAAGTTTCAGATACTCATACTCGTTTCTATACCAGAAGACTCCAGCTCTAGACCAGGCACTTCCACAGGATTGGTCTGTAGATGAGAAATTTGACATTATCAGAATGACCCAGAAATGCTGGCCATGAGGTGTTACAAGAAATTTTCATTTCAGACGCACTTGGGGGAAATTGCCAAATTTTATTGGGTGAACCAAGGTTGAGATCGGAAGAAAGAGTCTCATGTAGCTTTTTCCAAACAGGAAATCCTATGGATGTTTTATCCTTAAAAAAGCTAGCTAAGATTTTGGATCTGTATGATATAAACAGATTACTTAATATTCTCATATTTCGCAATAGGGGAAAAGAGCAAACTCCACCTTATCCTTTGAGATAAGGCCTTGGCTCTGCAGGGCTAGGTAACTTCCCAGCAAGCCTTGGCAACTCTGACTTTGTGAGGAGGGGCCTTTTCTGAACATTAGTGTAACCAGCAACTCAGGAAGCATAAAATACAGCAAGACAATATTGGCTGAATGAAACGTATCTCCGTTTCTGAAGTGTGATCAGTGCTCTCAAAGCTATTATGATAGATTGTGGTGGTTTTCCTCTTCCATTGAAAACTGAGTCCAGAAGGAAGTGTGCTCCCATCTGTCCAAATGGAAGGATAATTCTACAAATTCCCATGTCTACTGATGGACTTTAAGAGCGAGAATTGTTAAAAATCTGTGGAATTTACGGGAGGATTATTTTTAGGGAAATAAAAGTAAAAAAGTAGAGCAGGGCCTGGAACAGAGTAGATGTTTACTAAATATTTGTTAAAAGGAAGAATGGAATGCACAAATATATGACATAAACTAAGTATATGCAGAATTACCTTATGTAATCTTCTAAAGTCTTTGTTTAAAGTTTTAGTCAGAAATTTGGTTCCCGTAGTACTCTGAATCAAATGAGACAACAGAGCCTCTAAAGATTCTGTCCTTGCTATTATTGCTATTTGATTTTGCAGAGATCATTGACATATTTATGTTGTTTATATGTATATCTATATTGATAAGTAAAAGAGCCCCCTGAAACATGTCTGTGTTATTCTCTTTTCTTCTCCTCTCTTGAAGACAGAGACTAAACTAATGGTGACGTTTGTCTTTTTGGAGGTCAGGATCTCAACATTTTACAGACATGAAATCATAATGACTTAACCCTATTTTTCACTAGAGGATATCATGATGATGTATTTATGTGTATTGGAGGAGGTAGTATTCTAAAGAAGAAGTGGGGCCGGGTGGACATTTGTTAATAATTACAACGGTAAAAAGCATAATTGCCAAGAAGGAGTGAATGAAAACCTATCGGATGGGAAGGGAGGGGTCAAGTTGGAGCTGGGGCTATTCTGAGCGCTGGCTATAAGTGTCCGGTTGCATTTTGCTGACCTCTTCTCTGCTGTTCGCTCGGATGGCTCAGAAACTGTGTGTTCAGAGGAAACACTCAGGCAAATATCGCTGAAGGAAAAACCTTCTTGAAAGAAACCTGTAT